AAACAGATACTCAATAGATCATCAATGTACCAAAGCAGTTGCAAGCCTCCCTTGCAGCTTGATGGTTATTTGCGTATTCACTTCATCTCCTGCTTAGATGAAGAGTTTAGCATTACAAACAAGCTACTGCTTCATAAAAGTTGGCTCACCCTCAGCATTCATTCACCCACAGACTACCCAGAGAAAGTCATGTCATGCTGTACCTACAAATAAGCATGTATACTAGCACCTTCATCCCTCTCCACCTTGCAACAGCCTCAGGGCAGCAGCTCTTATGGTAAACGCACTCAAATTAGGTCTGACACACATCCCTGACTAGCATGGCCAAGCCAGGAGTTAACCCCAGCTGAAAGCTAACCTTAGTTATGCTCTGGACAAAGGGACAGCTGGCACCTCCAAACCAGGAACACTTCACCTCCTATAACTTTGCCTTCAATTGTGCCCCAGGGGAAGTTCCTGACAAGGTAAGATACCATACCTCTTCCTAGACTGGACCAGTACCACACTCATAGGTGTGAGTTTGAGACAGGGGGAGTGGCTAACACACACATTTCTTACCTCACATCATCCCTACATGCATCATGCACCACAGAATGTTGGACGGGAGGGGAGATTTCTGTAGCAAGTTTTGTAGCACTGTCTGCAAGTAGTTAGCTATCAAGAGACTATCAAGCTCCCCTGAACAGCTTCAGCAAAACAAAACTACAAAGAAAAAAACCAAAAAACACCACCCCAGAACATACAAACTCATAGGTCTGATATTCAGGGGGCATCACTGGAAGCAAATACCACAATGCACACAGAAATTCACAGGTCTCCAATGGAAACCAGCAGATTTTATACACCTTACAGATTGCCCTGGTTAAACACCAGAACAGACTGGCCACCAACCACAACTTTTCCTCTAGATACACAAGTAAGGCTGCAACCACAGATATCCACTGAAAACTGAGGTGCACCTTTTCAAAGGAGGGTCCACCAAAAGGGTTCCTGGCAACAGCACGCTAAGCCTTGGCAAGCAACGGTGATAAGCAACTGTGTTGTAGTTACTGAGATCCTCTTTCTCTTTCCCCCTCCTACCTGGATGCAGGCATCAAAAACTAACCACCCAAAATACCTGCTACCAGGATGAAGGACATCTGGCTGCAAAGACATTTAGAAAATAAAGTTTCCCATATTGATAACTGTATCTCTTTAAAAACAACAACTAAACCCCACATTTAAAATAAGTCACTTAATCTCTTCCCCCAGTTTAAATACAGAAAGCAATCTTACTTTGTTTCCTATTTTGATACACACTGTAAAGTACCATTGTCTTTAGGCAAATGATACTATAAATGAGTCACTATACTCACTCGTAAGATCCTACAAGCCAGCTAACTTGGAGTCACTAGAATTTCATAGAAACACACCAGACATTAGTCAGCCTATAACATCACAAGAAGTCCTACCATTAGACTCAGCCTATATACAAACCACTCTGTTTTAAAACATAGTACATCACAGGTCATTGCTTCAAAGCGGCTGACCTCTGTGACTAGTGTCACAGAACAAGAAATTGCACATCTCTTAATCATTTGAAGAAACCCACTAACCACTTAGATCAAAGCTGATCTGCACTTCTAGCACTGATGTTTTGTCCTGTTAGTCCTCCCCCAATGACTGCAGTTTACACAGTTGTGAAGAAACTAAGTTACTAGCCTCAAAAGGTGGGTGTGATCTTCAGTTTTACTTCATTATTTGAAAGAAAATTAAGTCACTGTCATCCAGTCTAACAACAAAGACAATTCCAATGAAGTCAAGCCAAATACACGCGTCCATAATGGTCACAGAGAAGTTACTGACCCCTGGCAGCAACAAACACAACATGTCGCTGATTGACTACAGTAATCTTCTAAAAATAACCATGTCCCATTCTACATAGAAGCTTAACTATCTAGTGTCGGCTGTCTAATCATTGTGATACTCTAACACACTGGAAGGCATCTTTTGTTGAATACAGCCAGGATTAATCAGGAACGCAAGGCGAAGTCTTTGCATTCTGACTTTAATATTTCAAGAACAAAGTTTAAGATGTCATCCTTTTCACTACTGTAGGCACTGTAGTATGCACTGTAGCATTTTGTCCCATCTAATTTTTTAAGGCTTTGAATAACAAACATTTAAGTACCTACAAAATTTCAGTCTGCCTATTGCCAAGAAGCGTTCCTTGCTACTCAAGATGTTATCTTGAGTTATTTTAACTTGTTGCTTCCTGGTTAGGTCTTTCCTCGAGACTGTCACGCCAGGAATCAAAAAAAAAAGATGTACAGTGACTCCTCTTGCAGAAGATAGATCTTTCAAAAAACTGCAGGATCATACCTACCTCTCCACAGTGCGTTTTAATGATGCACACCTCCCCCCATACCACTTCCAGGCATATTACTGATACTTTCCTCTCAAGGGAAATCCATTCTCTTAAAAGGAATTGTTCCCAGTTTTCTACTACAAATTACACTCCTCCAGAACCTCCTGGTTAAGAGACCACACCTTTCAGAAACAGGTAACAAACACCAGTCAGCAGAGGTTCACCGAAGATAGTAGAGTGCTGCCAACGTATATAATTCAAAGGCAGAAGTCCCTCTCTCCTTTCAAGTCCTCTCACCACTTGCCTTTTCTGCCAATCTTCTTTGAGCTCTTCATCATCAAAATCTGTCTCACAAGAGCTTCAGTTCTGGCTATGAGAAGCCTTGATTTGGTCAACAGTTTCCGAGAGAGGTAGGCTCTCTTACGTCTCCCCTTCATCATGTATTGTTTTTTGTATAAGGAGATAAAGACTGAGATATGTCTGAAGCCAGGACTATTGCTCTACAAACCTTTTAACACTGGCCAGAGCCAAACTGACTACTGCCTGCTTTTCTGCCAACACACACTGATAAAGATAAACCTACTACAGCTGTAAATTCATAGGATACTGCAGCACACCTGGGCCTCTTTCAAGCCCACTTAATCCAGCATCCCCCCCTTCCTAAAAGGAATTAATTTATATATTCTCCCTCTCCACACCCTTCCTTCCCTGCAGACCCATTAGCTTTTCATTTGAGGAGGGCACAAGCTGGAAACAAGTTGAAAGGGACCGGTAACAGGCTGGTGTCAGTAGTGCTGACAGCCCGCCCTACTCTTGAGTCATCTAACATCAACTCAGATTTCAAACCTGCTCTGCTCCTCTCTTTGGTGGAAAAATAAGCAGTTAGATTTCCCTTCTTCTAGACATATTTTTAGGAAATAACAAAAGGTGACTACAATAGGCACTGATAAATGCACCCTCTAATTTGCCTCACTCTCTCTCCTATGTCTAGCATACCTTGAAAGTCAGCTGTGACCAGTTCTCAGGAAATAACAAAAGGTGACTACAATAGGTACTGATAAAGTGTCAGCTGTGACCAGTTCTCGTCCCTCTATTCAGTGGCTAAGTCACAGTTTCAGAAAATGCAATCTGTTTGCAAGCATAATGTAAGTCTTGCATTCTGATCCATAACAACAGAAGAGATCCATTAGACTTTATAGAAGGATGAATTCAATTAGAAGGAATCAAAATTATTTAACGCTGCATCATCTTTTAAAGTTGGACATACTGAAGGGGTAGGGTGAAGCAATAATTAAGAATACAAAACTCCTTAGAAGCAGCCAAAGATAGAAGTCTACAAAGCTGATGTAACTTCAGGTAAGGAAGCAGAGCAAAGACATCAACTGCTACCCAGCACATAAAGCAACTAGAATACACTAGACCCAAGCCAGTGCCAAGCCCTGGTTTCAGTCAGCCCTTGTCCAGTTTGGAGAATGCAGTTGTCAACAGGCAGTCACGCTATTTTTTTCCATAAGGACTTTGCTTATAGATAGTCTTTCAATTTAGTATTTATTTAGGAGGAAAAAAAACCCCAAACTTTCAAAAGAAGTCTTCAACACTGAGTATTTGATTTCTTCCTGCTTCACTTAAGTGGATGTTTTCTTTTGAACAAATGTTATATATATGGATTATGTTAGGCCTTACTGCTCATCAGTGAGATTCTTCTGTCAAATGTAAGCTTATTAAGGTACAATTAGAAGTCAGCAGAGCTAGAGCTATTCCAAGTTCATTTTGTTCATTTGTTGTTCGGTTGTTGGTTGGTTTTTTTTCTTGCTTGATTTTCCAGTTTAATCTCAAACTGTAGAGACACATATCAAACTGGTTTATGCACAGACTATTTTTCCACCCCAGTTAACCAGAAACTGTCTATGTAGATTTACCCTATTACGTATGGACAGGAGACTTTGCTTCAACTGCAAAGAGAAAGTCACAGGGGAAGTTACACACTCTGCAGAGAAGGTGTTTCAACAGGTCTACTGAGCCTCCTCATAGGTGAGCACATCAAAACTGCAAGCCAGTGCCAGCTAAATATGGTATTTCCCCCTCTGTAAGACAGCTACAAAAGTAGTGTCCAAACAGGTCAGTAATATTAGGGCCCAGCTCTCCATCATGTGCAACTCCAGCTGGTGACTACCTCATACCTTTTTGGTCGGCAGGGTGAGGGGGCACATGTGGGTACTTGGAGTGCTTCTTGATATGGAAGTTCACGTTGTCCAGCTCCACGTTCAGGCTGATGGAGGCGGCTGAATCACTGTCCATTGTGGACTGGAAGCTGCTGACTGAAGTGCGCTTGCTAGGGCTGGCAGAGTCTTTTAGTGTTGGGTAAGGGGAAAGATACAGGGAGGAGAAGGGTTCAAATGGGTATCGTGAGGGTATCGGAGAGGAGAAAAATTGTCTTTAATACATAAAGACCAGTGTGCAATACTACAGGAATACAGTATTTTCATAGTTCTAATCTTATCTTCATGTGTGCATGCTGACATATTGGGCATTCTTCAGTGCATTACTATAGGGCCCAAAGCAAACAGAAGTCTGCCTGAGAAACAGAAGGCAGCAATTTACACACTTCTCCTCCGTTAGAAGTATGAAGATTTACCACTTCCACTAAATACAAAATACTGTATCCATCGTAAGAAACAGGAGGACCAGTTAGGTTATAGTTTGCTTAGATCCTTACAGCCCCATGCACACACACACAAACACACACACATAAAGCAAGACGTGGTTAAACTACTATGTCCCAAAGGACTGGGGTAACAGGGAAGAAGGCAGAGTGAGAACAAGATTCAGGTGAAACTCACTGGCTAAGTTATCTTCTCCTTCATCAGCAATCTGCTCTGTATCACTGTCATCAAACTTGATGTCTTTGAACCAGGATGGCTCAGAGTGCCCCTCTACAGAGTTCACAGAGTCACTGTCTGGAGATGGGGTTTCCGAGAACTCCGTGCTCTAGAAGAAAAGGAATAAAAAAAGGTGTTAAAGTGCAGCTCTGCTGAAATATTAAGCAGCCTGCTACAAATGCAGCTCAGACATTTTAAAAATCAGAGGATACTCACAGTGAGCTGAGCCAGGCTAGTCATAGAGCCACCCCCCTTGGCATGAAATAGGAACCCTTTGGCACAGGAAACAAGTATTTCTTTACACTTGCCACGTGCTTAGTGTCTGCCTCTTCCCCACCTCCGCACAAGTTGTGACTAAGTGGCATGAAAGGACAAGTTGATTCTACTGCACATTTTCTGTCACCACATCCAGTTAAACAGCTTTGAATGCTTCCTATCCCCAGCCACGGTGGGTGATGACCATATCCTTTGCACAGAAACCAGTACATGCAGCTTTTGGTGGAGGCTAATTCTAAGTTACTGGAGCAATTCTGTGACCGACCAAAGTAGCTCTAAGAGTTTCACTCACAAGTCAGGCTCTAGCTGGGGCGATTGTGTCAAAACAAAGCCTGGCTAGAGTGCCAGAGAACCTGGAGAGCATGTAAGCAATTTCCATCAGCCATTGTGATGGAAATCACGTCAAGAGGAAGTTCTCACTATCATTCCTTTGGCTACAGTGAGTGCAGCAAGCAACTGAGTCAAGAACACTGTTTCTCCTGACACTTGTCCAGGAGAAGTAAGATCAGACAGGGCTTTCAGCTAATGAGAACAAGAATTGGCTTTAAGCCTTGAATAACATAAGCCCCTTACAAATAGTTACAAACAAGGATCCAGGGAAACTTGCTAGATAAGGGCAAGCTTTTAACTGTACTGTTGCAGTTTGCTAGTAACTAGCTGAGATGCCAGATGAAGCCCAGAGCAATCTCAACAGACAAACACATGACCATGGCCAAGAGCTGAAATACACAAGGAAGACAAGATGCTAATGGCTGCGCCTTTCTGACTGAGGTCCGTGGGACAGCTGAGCCATTCTTTATTGTGAGAAGCTGCAGAACACAGAAGACTCTCAACTGAATGCCTTCAGGTAACAGAGAGGCTACAGAGATATCTTGTTCAAGTTATAAAAACAATCCAGTCAGTCAGGCCAGTGACTGCTCTTACCCCTCAGGAAATTTGATTGCAATGAAATACAGTAGGATAACACCTCTGGCCACTGGTTCCCTGCCTCACCCTCCGCTAGCCTGTCCTATTTGGGAGGCATGACAAAGACCCCCTTCCAATCTTGCATCATGTGGCTAAGGTATTGAATTCTTTAGTACTGCTATCACTGGAGATCAGAAGGTTACCAATATAATATATAAGAAGATCCAATAGTGTGTATGTAAAATACCCATTCTTTGGAAGTTTTTAAAGACAGAATTTTGAAACAGAAGACCACCATTGCGTCTCAGTCATCAGTAATTGCACACAGCTTCTAGATTCTGCACATGATAGCCAGCTGCCACAAGCACACACTGTGCCATTCCAAGGCCTCCATGGATGATGTGCACCATGAGAGGCAATAGCCTAGATTAGGGACCCTTTCCTCCACTTTAACCAGCACTACATGTAACAACTCATCCTCCGCAGAGGACAGCCCCAAAGCCTTCTGGGCAAATGCAGCTTCCTCAGGCTTTAAATCACCAAGGAAAAAGGCCTGGACCCCAATTCTCTGTACAGGTGAGCTGATCTAGAAAACATACAACAGCTGCTGAGAACAGGATTAGACAAGATTCTAGTCAGCAGCCAAACTCAGCAAGAGCCATAGCTTTCCTGCTCCTTTTACCTGTAACGGTCTGTAGAGAGCATACTCATCTCTGAAGAGCTGATCATGATGACTGACACATTCTAGCCAGCGTCCATCAACCAACGCTTGTCCTATTGCAATGGCTTGGACCCTGGAGGTATAAGAATAGAGATGGTTTTCTAAGTCCAGTTCTAAACACACATGGTTTACGGTACAAGCATGCTACAAAAGTAAAGAGTCACTTGTAACACACTACTTGACTCATCAGTATCCCCTTGCTGTGTTCAACCAGACACTATTTAAAATATTGTGGAGAGGCAGCAGAGTGTACTGGTTCAAGTATGGAGCTAGATGGAAGAGACTGCCAGTACTCTAAACTCAGCTGAGGTCTCTAACAGACAATTAAGATGTACTGTTTGTGCTCCTCCGACATCGTTAGCTTGAGTTACACACACTGAGCATCTCTGCTGAGTGAGGACTGTTGCTCTACACTTAAGAGCCACCTCAGTTTTATCCCCCTCTCGCTATTTAAATACACCAGATTGTTTATACTCACTTACAAGGTTAAGAGCCTGAAATCATTAGTGATCTCTGATCCCAGGGGCAGACTTGCCCTTTGGAGTATCAGTGAACTTTTTTAGACAGTCTTTGTAACACACTCACTGTTCTCCAACTGTTTGAGTGATATTTGTCCCATAAGCTGCCTCCCACACTGGCTCCCAAACCAGTGAGCCCCCTGTGCACTCTTGTTTTGGGCAACACAGAGTCCAAACCCTACGTGCTTTGGTAGGCAGTAAAAATGAGATCTGAATTTTCTATCTTTCTCATCTCCTTGCAAAGGGCTCTATCTCTGCAGTCTAAGGCACCCTGTATCAGCAAAAACTCACAACCTCCTGTCACAGAGACAGGAGACACCTGCTGTCCTAAAGCATCAGGGTTACCTTGTGGTTATGTGCCCATTTCTGATGAGCCAGTTGACCAGCTCTTTTCCCACAATGCAGTTGGGATGTGTCCGCAGCCAGTAGCGATGGTCTTGAAACTCCATCCCACTGTTGTGATGGCAGATCTTCTTCCACAGATCTTTCAGCTGGACTGAGTCCTGCACAGGGAGAAGTGCAAGTTACTTGCTAGTCCGACCTTAACACTAGTTTCAAGGACATTAAACTGGGTCCTCAGATCAGCTTCTAGATCAAGACCCCTCCACAAATAGGCATAAAATCTAAGCCATTCTGCAAAACCTATGCAAAGGTGCAAACAGAAACAGCAACAGCAAACAGACATGAGGTCAGCTCCTCATATCCTTCCTTTTATATAAAGTTGAGAACAAGGAACAAATGAAGTGGGTACCCTCAGAGTTAAGGGGGTTTTATTTTTAATGTGGCAAGATTTTGTACTGCCTACAAGATACTTACGTCCTCACTACTGCCCTCTTGCACCCTATTCTCAAACTCAGGTGGTGTGTGCATAGAGAACAATGAAAACTCATCCTTTGGAAGAGTGTTTTTCTATATAACTTGTGCTTAACCTAGGCTTTGTGAAGCACCCTAGTCCATTATCAAGCCCAGATATAAAGCAAGTACTTGACACAGCAATGCACACTGCTATGTTCAAGTTTTGGGATACCATTTCTTACTGAGAATTCCTTTTTTATTGTCCAGTATCAAGCATTTTTTAAGATACTGCTAGCTTTGGGTACTAAGCAAAAGGTGTGTACTCCTCCAAAAATCCACAGATTTTTGAATCTGTGGATCTCTTTCCCCTCACCACTTGTAACACTTCAGCCTATAACTCAAAATTATTTTGGGGCCTGTTAATCATGTGCACTGACTCTTGTGTAGGCTATGCTCCATCCAAACCGAGCTGTCTCTCTGCACCTGGCACCTTTTACTTTCCCATAAGCACCCTGGCTTGGCACAGCACAATCCACTGTTGCAGACTGGAAACTGAGACCTGGGATTATTTTGAGAGTGCAACAGAGCACCCCAAGGGGTGGAAAAGAGACACTGCAGCTCACTCTCTCAAATACCTCAGTTGTTCCATTTTTGTGTAACAGAGCGGGTGGGTGGAATAAAAAAGTGTTTAATTAAATTTTAACTGGTTTCAGCTTTACAGTTAACTGCCAGACCCACATTATTGCACTTTCCCAAGGGTGCCCTGAGATCCAAGAGTTTTACTACACTTCTGTTACTGGACTGGCTTTCTGCTTTTATTTCCAGCAGCGGCTGTCCTGGGTATTGTCCTAAAAGCAGTGTCAGCAGCTCCCCTTCCACACCAGGTACAGAGTCAAATGGATCAGTAACAGAACATGTCATGGAATCACAAGATTTGATGCCACTGGCGATTCCACAGTTTAGCTGCCTTGTAGTTTACCCTTAAGTCATATGGTGAATTCAATAAACTGGACAAACTGGCAGAACACAGCAAATCCTTTCAACTCAAGGATTTTGACCTCTAGTTCAGAGAAGTATGTGCTTACCCCAGCATATGTACATCCTCCTCTACCTTTTATTTCATGAGCAAAGTTCATTAGTCTTCTGAATAGACTATGTTAAGCTTTAAATTAACTCCTGATATGCAGTCAGCTCCACATGCTAAGGGCATTAAACAAACAGTGGAAATTCACAGAATATCCTATACTAATTGACACTGTATCTTCTGCTCTTACATGAACAGAAGCAATACTACTGATCTTCTGCCCCAAAGAAGGAAACGGACAAAAAAAATTAAAAAATGTGAAGCTGAAGTGCACTGGGACTTGATCATCTTGGTCCAAGTTGCGTTCATAGCATTTTAAATTTCATTTTCCTGCATTAACATACATGCACAGGGCATGGTGGTGTAAAGACATGCCTTAAAAATGTTTCTCCCTCATGTGGTTATCCATTTACAGAGCACCCTGGAAAGGAGTTGTGCAACTGAACAGTAACTAGAGTGTTTCTGCACCCTCAGGAATACTTGTATGCATTTTGCTGACAGCAGAAAAATACCTGACAACACAGAAATTAGCCTTTCTCATTTCAAATTGGCAATGGGGAGCAACCTTGGATCTTTTAATGTGTGAAAAACACTTTCCCTCCCTCAAAGAAAAGAAACACTGTCTTCTACTGAACGTTGTACAATAACTGTCATCTACAATGCTGCCTCTGTAGGGAGGGGATAACAGGATTACGCAGAACACTTGCACATTGATTTTTCTTCGAACAAGCACATTACTACAACTTTCTACAAAAAGTTACATTTATTCTGCAAACAAGGGGAGGGGCCAAGTTATGTTTTGGCCCAATGAGCTGTATCAGCTTTAACTCATTCATCCTGGTGTAACCACTCTGAAGCTGCCATTTAAAGTTTCCAATTATGTAGCCTATGAAGGGGAAAATCTGAACTTGGAGAAACACAGAATCAGGTCATTGGTTTACAGCTGCAACCATGACAGGTTTAATCCACAAGCAGCCACCACACACCAACTCCACACTGCGTAACACAACTCCCAAATTTAAAACTGTAAACACCTTTACGCAAACAATACATGAAACTATGATTTGTTTCAGGAAGACTGAGGTGTCCAAAGCACCATCAATATTGTCCATCCCTGCACCACCTGAAGGAGAGGTCCAGGTAAGAGTGCTCAGACAAGAGCCTTTAAAGGCAGCACGATGCTCCTGCTGCATGATACAAGAAAGGCAAACTTCATTGCCTTCACAGAGCAAGACAAACAGAAGTTTGAAAGGTACCAGAAGGATTTTGCGCTCATCCTCGCTGGTCTCTGCCTTCATATGTGTGCGACTGGCCTGGGGGCTGACAGAAGTCTCATAAGCAGGCACCATTGGTGAACCTGATCGATCCAGTGACAGGTTAGTGATGCTGGCTGACCTGTAGCGGAAGAGAGAAAAATTGAAGTGTAAGTGTTCATTGTGCAGTGCTTCACCAGAGCATGCATTGATCTTGTAGCATGTTAAAAAGGAACTTCTTACTGCTTAAAGCTTCCTCCCCCATCAAAGCACGAGAAGGGATCCCTAGGAAGCAAGTGTATTGATTTTGAAAGTCTAAGTGAAACAAACTTTTGTAAAGCTTTTTGTAGGAAGCAGTTAGAACTAAGTTTAGGCATAGCAATTCATATATGCCTGCATTTGAATAGACTGGGGAAGGGATGGGATGCTGGGTAATTAGAAGCTCTAGCGGTCTGAAGGCAAGACAGACGCTAGCAAGGGCAGCCAACCTGTAACAGGGCACTGAGATTTCCCCTCTCCTTGACCCATTTAAAATTCCTTCTCCTCAGCCCTCTGAAATATATGGCTGACAGCTTGCAGAGTCTGGAAGTTTGAGCATCTGTTCCCTAGGGTGGCTAAACAGTCTGCTGAAGCTGGAGGTCACTCCAGCTGGCAATTTTCCTTGTACTGAGATATGGAGCATCCACCTGATCTCAGCCCAGCTGATTAAGAAATCTTGGCTAGGCACTCCAGTACAAACACACCATTTTGCAATAATCATTGCAACGCCACAAATGCAGATAAGAGTTCCAGATACCCTCTGTTCCAATATCCTGCAACCAGACTAAGCCTCTGAATAACCAGAGTGCAACTTCTCACCACGCAGCAGCAAAAAGCATGCAATGTGAACTATTCATGCTAACAGCACTCTAAGTGAGGATGGAAAATACTTCTGCATACAGCAACAGGGAAGTTCAAAATGCCAATGCTGACCTGACTCAAGAGGCTTGCAGCAGTCTCAGTGATGAGGACTGTTGCCAGCCTTTAGTCTTTGGAATGAAATTTGGATAACTTCACAGAGCTTGCTAACTGGCTAACAGACACTCTAATTACTCCCAAGAATTCTCAATGGATGTTGTGGCTGAGCCCAGGCATGAAATAGCAATGCCACCCTATTTCAGCTTTTGTACAGCGAGGAAGCAGGCACTGAAGGTACAATAGTCTCAACATCACTGCTCTTTCTTCTTCTGTCTCTTAAGGAGGAACACTGGGCTGATACAGTGTTTTAGATAGTTTCCTATGATTCTGCATAGATTACTAAAAAGGACCTATGTTGGCACCACATCCATAGACATCTAGGGGTGATACGCAAAAACCTTCTGTCATAGTCAGGCGTTCAAAGAAGGCTAAAACTCTGTCAGTCTTCTACTGTTCAGATGCTCTCAAGTTAAAAAAAGTTAGAACTGGCAGAGTTACGCAGCTTAACAGAAAGCATTCTTATGTGGAAGATGAGACTGACATGAAAGTCCGTCATTAAACACTCCTCCCAGTTGTTTTGCAACAGCTGTTTTAACTGTGCCACCTACCTGTAAGCAGCAGAGATTTTTAATTTGTGTAAGACAACACTAAGCAAGTTAGAACAGTCAAATTTCATATCTGTGTCTTCATCATCACCAATTACATCTGGGACTTTATTGTATTTATCTTTTCTAAAAACAGAGGGGGAGATTTTGCAACAAAAATCTCTATCCTTTAGAAGACCCTGCAAAGAAGTTTGAATCCCTCCACTTGCAACATTTGACTGTTGTGCTGGGGTTTTTTTCCTCCATAAATAATCAGGCTGAGAAAAAAAAAAACAAACACATATCCCCCACTCACAGGGAAAACATATAATACCAAGTAACTTCTGCTACCTGCACCTAAATGTACTCAACCCGCATCTTTTTTGCTTCATCTCATCTAGAAAGAGACATGGTCAAGCTTGCCCCAAAGAAACACCTATGGCTGCTTTGAGAAGATCTGAAGGATAGCATTGCTTAGCCCAAAGCTAACAGCTTTGTTTCCACAGGTTCAGAATTTTGACAGAGATAGGCTATACCTCATCATTACTTCTCAAACGTGAGTCCAGACAGGTAAGTACTACAGTGAGGCCATGAGTAGCCAGAGAGTTAAATTTTAACTTGAATGAGCAGTTTGGGCCTGTCAGGTCCACCTTAGAACACTCCTACTACTGCATGCATGAGCAAACATCAAAGGCCTTTTAAAACAGACAACATCAATTCAAACAGGAAGCAGGAGAGCATCCTCAAGGTTTCAGTCATTTCTTGACGTCACTGCAGTTATTTAGCATTGAACTTTTAACTCTGGACTCCTTGCCATGTTTTCCCAGAATTGATTTTTGGTACTAGTTCATTCACCAGTATTTTACTCCCCTGAGGTGAGACCTTTAGTTCTCAGCTGTACAGCGTGCGTCTCCTACTAGCTATCCCCATCACACAGAAGGTAAAGATTCCAAACAGTCCATTCCCCAAAAAGCACACTCAGCATCGTTCTCAGCTGAGTTCCCACGTCTTTGCTTGTCCTGTCAGATCCCTCCAAATTGCTGAACATTCTGCATTCCTGTAACACCAATGCAAAGAAGTCTCTGAATGTCTCCTGATGCCAACATTGAAATTTGGATTATCTTTCTGTTCCTCATATCCTTGTCTCACCTTTACTTCCCCAATTTAACCGTAATGGAAGTATGTAACCAGAACCATAGCAGAAGCATTGTGAAGTAGAAATTACTTGTTTTTCTAATACCAGCCTATTTAGTGGGATTAAGCTCAGGCATTCACAATTTATACTAAAGCCCTCATGAGCATTTCCAAGTTCATTCCAGCACTCTTGCATAAAGACCTATGATGGGATTTTAGCCTGAGGAAGGCTGGTAACTCAAACAAGATTATACTTAATGGTAGCGCAGAGAGTGCAGATGGCAGGAGGGGGGGGAGCGGAGAGAACACAAAACAAACAAAAGCTACACCTCTGCTCCTCTACGACTTCAGTCTTTGCCTTGCATTACCGAGCCTGTTACTCCCTTTTCTTCAGCTCCCTCAGAACTCTACCTTTCTTAGCCACTTTTCCTTTCTGTCCTCTTCATCACCACCTCTATTTGATTGACTCAGCAGCAAACTACAAGTTCCTCAAAAGTAGTACATTAATTAATACGAATATGTACATAAATGGTATTTCCTTACCATTACATATGGGTAATGGGGTGTCCCATTTTAGACATGGAACAGCATGCTCAGTAAAAACAAGCCCCAAAACACAGGCTTTACAATAAAGAGCGTGCTAGGAGTGCATCCAGAACAGAAAATACTGAGATATGATTAGTTTACCTGTTCCTAGCTGGTGACTTCCCTGCATCCTCCTGGACAGACCCAAGGCGTGCAGACAGTGTGGTAGTTGAAGAGTCTGGGTGAATCAAACTGCAAGGAAAAGGAACATGTTGGAGATGTTTGACAGATTTGCCCCATGCAGCAGCATCAGAACAGCTGGAATTAAAATATGGTTATGTTACCTCTCATTCACACCCATGACTGTTAAATCAATGAGGTAATAGAGAAATCTTTCCCCATTATTTTGGGAAGGGACTCAAGTCCCAAGTTTTCTTCTGAAACAAACTACTTCTCAACAGAAGTCACATATTAGGAAAAAAAACAAAAACTTTGCTTCCATTATGAAGCTGTGAGTTGCCGCTTTCCACTGTGGTCCCATTTAAGTTCAGTGTCTTGAGTTTAAGCCTCTGACAGTCAACAGGAACTTACCAAATGCAGTATTAAAAAAAGCACTGCAGCCCACTGCAAAGTTTTACATTTTAAGAGAAACAAGCACTGAAGAAAATTTCAATCCTCCTAACGCAACAATAAACTACCTAATCTCAATTTCTCTCCCTCTCACATGTAAAAGCAGCCCATGTTTATCCAACATCTCCCAACAAGACTAAGTGTTCTAGTATAGAAAGAGTTATCAGCCTTTCAAGAATAGGCAGTACTTTTCTCAAGTGCTACAACCTGCCCAAAATAAAGATATAATTTCTTTACATGTTCATGTCTACAAGCTTTTGAATTGCCATAATAAAGATACTAATAATACATGAGAAGACAGGACTAATGATACCTTCTATTATTTTGTACACCTGAAGAGAAGCATTCCGAGCACACATACTTATTCCCCAATTCAAAATTTGGTAGTATTTATCCCAAGCATTGCAACATTACTGCTTTAGATGACCATGACATTAAACCAGAAGTATTTTCCTTTATTTAGGCCTAAAGCTGATTCTTTAATTACTTCCCTACAGGAACACCATATTCTAAAAAGCAATGTGCAAAGCAAGAGTCAGGGCATTTTCTGAAGACAGTTGGTTTTAAGGCTTTTCTTTTAATACTATCAGAATCACTAGAAGAGATCTGCTGAGGGAGGCACATGTCACTAACACTACGCCTCAGTTAAAGAAAGGCTCTGACTCAAGACCTCTTCAGTAGTTTCACACCTGCCTGTTCTTCTGTTTTTAGAGAAATGAGAATAAACACCATATCTGATTATTTCTTCCTTCCCCCCACAGTGAATTAAATTAAGGTCCTCAGAAATTAACATGCATACTACTTTAGTACAGTGTTCTTTTGTTCACCTTCCAAAAATAAAGGTTGTCTCATCTGAGAGCAGTAAGAAGAAATATACTTTGAAAGGAGATCAGAGAACCTTTATAGCTGTCCTTTCAATCCCACTTCAGCTGAAACAGGTGGTTACTTACACCATTTTTCTCGTTTACCCAGATAGCATCTCTTATACTCTCTTGCCCAATCCAAAACGCGAGAGGCAAAGCATCAGTGTCACATTGACTTGCCTCCCAATACATTCGTGATTAAAAGGGATGGGTTTTGGTTTTGTCTTTTTAAACTCTGAAGCTGAAAGCCTGCTCTGCCACTGGTATAGAATCACTGACTCAATAGGTTAAAGGAAGAACTGCAAATAATTTAAAAATCCACTAGAAAAGTTTCCACATTTCAACTTGAAGAGAAGAGTATTAGAAGCAAGCACAGGATTAGATTCTTTTCACAGGAGACATACTTCTAAGTTCCCTAGATGGAAACCACCAGCTTTTGTCTAGGCAGGTGTCAGCCTGAAAACAGTTAAGATTCTAGAGCTTAGCATGAAGCCATTCACTTTACCTTTGCCAGGTTAGATCCTCCTCCAGAAAGATGTTGCGGCTAGCTTTACGGCTCCCAACTGGTGTGCGTGGCTCGCCAGGATCCAGCACTGACACAGAACATGCAGAATCTGACAGAGCATTTAAGTCTTCTCCGATGGAGTTACTGTCTGTGGAGTGTGCATAGCTTAAGGCTATTTTGCGGCAGTAAGTGCAGGCTCGGAGATCCCCTATGGAAAGGGGAACCAGAAAGTGTCAGTGAACAGGAACAAATAGTACTCTGTTCCTACAGGATCAGAGGTGTGTTGTGGTGGGAAAAGAAGGATTTCCTGTTTCAAAACCTCTTTGCATGTGTAACTCTAGTTCTCATATTCTCTTAAAGAGCAAAACCCCAGACAAATATACACTCAGGGAATTTCTCCAAGTCAAATGATACTTAACACATGATCGGTAAGAAAGAGAAAGGTTGCAGGGGCAGGAAGAGAGAGCACACGTGCACATTGAAATCATGGTACAACAACAGCCAGTCAGATGTGACATACCAGCAGATGTCTGGAAATCATTACCTCCATCAGGAGATGTCTAGAGTTTGGTAACTGGTGTTTGAAAGAGTTTCCCCTCAACCTTCATTAGAATACATGGCTCATTACATTTTAAAACTACCATTACTAAGAACAGCTTTTACTTGAGTACATTTTGTAGTGAACATCCTTGTTAAACAGTGGCCATATTTGTTTTGTCATCACGGACATAGCGTAGGTAAAAATAAGCAGGCATGGCATAATCCACCATCCCGCACAAAGAAATTGGTAGAATTAGCTCCTGTGTTTCTTTTTGCTTATTTCTAAGCCCACTAGAGACCTATATAGCATTCTCTAGCAGTTGCCAGAGAGCAGCTGCAGTAGTCCAAGCAGAGCTGAGCACACAGCAAACATTCTCCTTCTCAACAGATAAACCCTACCTGTGTAGCCCATGAATTTTCCAGGGATTTCCTGATTGCAGCATCGACTACAGAAGATCTGCCCACAAAGTCGACAATGGTGCCTCCGCCGGAAGGTAGTGAATTTCTCACTGCAGTCATAGCATTCTTTGCACTGGCTGTCAGGCATCCAGTACTGCTTCAAGTCACTGTCCTACAAGGGAAAACAGCAGACAAATTATTTTTTTTTTTAAATAAAAAAGCATGTTTAGGTTCATGATTGCTTTGAAAACTGTGCACATGAAAAGAACAATTTCATATATTCATATGTGTGTGTGTGTCCACATTCCTTTGTATAAGCACACACATGCACAGAAAGGATTGTTCATGTGGTTTTATAGGGAGCCAGAAGGCTGAGAGTTCTTAACTGTGAGAATAAGTCTAGTAAGCCTTTGCATTCTTGATCCAAGATGGAAGTAAAGCAGATAAAAACTATCCTGAGCTGTAAATAAAGGTCAAGAAGAAACAAACATACAATGTACTGGCTGTTCTTCCCTCTCATTTGCCCCTAGCATGACAGAACCTCAACCAGCACAGTTTAAAAAAAAAAAAAAAAAAGCACAACAAAAAACCCACACCAACAAAACCACGCATTAGTCAAAGCTGTTATCCAGGCATAAATCAAGTTATCACAAGTTATCAGTGCAGGAAGATCATTTCAACAGCTAATACTGGGACATACTTTGAAAGGATTATATATACATATTTTGTTATATGATCAAATTCTTCAAAACCTCAGCAAACAGTAGTAAAAGCCTGTGTCCCCGAATGATGTTGTCTCAAAAGTCTAGGTTAACGGCTATGTGAAGACAACTGTGGAATATACATTCAGCAGATAATGACATATACTGATTTATAGCATGGGTGCAGCCACAGGAATTTTTTCTTGTTTCTAAGACTTGAAAACAAAGAGTTAAAACTTCCATTTGGTGTTGTAGCTACAAACAAAGCAAGACAAATATCTCCATTATGATTCTGAGCACACCAGCTACAATTACCATGGATGGAGACAACTGCTAATGGTCACATGACAGCTCTGACTGTGAAACACTCTTTGCTAGAGTTCAGTTCTGGCAATAAGCTTTTTCAGACAGACTGAATACTTGTGGGTTTTCTTAGGAAGAGAACAAGCTGCAAGAATTTTCTCCAAACAATCAGAGAAGAGAGTAACCACAGAGAAGAAAGGTGATCTGTACTCTGATTTTCACGTAACCAAAAAAAGCATACCCTGAATTGGGGTTTATTTTTGGATGTTCACAAAGTGAAGTTTGACATAGCTGCTACACCAATTTTGAGACCAAAACAGCTATGATCAACAAGACAACAATTTCATCCTGTCCTCACCCAAGAAAATTCATACAGAAAGAGGTCAAAGACTGCTCAAGGCAGTCTAGTGTTCAAGAGAGTCTAGACATTTTTATGATGAACATGGCAAGCTTCAAGCAGGGAAAGATGGTGAAGAGCTTTTGCCAAGGAACTGCTGTAAAGCTGCAGGGGATGCTGATCAACAGTTTTTGCCGCAGCTTTGCTTGATAAACCAAGTCTCTTGTTCTGCCACATAGAGAGTGGCTGTTCCAAGCAGCAGTGCCTTTGTCCACCATCTCTCCCACATTGCCTCTTCCCCACCTGCACATGACTGGGTGTTTAAAAACCCAACCATTGCTGGTGATACCTTCCAGCTCTCTGCCTTTCTCAAGTCAGAGCCAACACTCATGGCAAGAACAGCCTACAAGAAAGGGTTCAGAATAGGAGTCCGGCCCCTGTTAGCCATAGAGGTTGATTAGAGCAGCACCTTCCAGAACCTGACACATGCTTTCTACAACAGTAAAGTGGTCTCCTGTAGAGACAGACCAAGTCCATAGTAGGAAGAAATTGTTGTCAGGAGTGACTCAAGCAAGACACGACTGCAGTCAAGGGCAGTGATGCATTACCATTTGTACAGAAGTCAGCATGCTGACAACATACCGCTTTCAGAGAAAGATCTAGACATATTAATTTACTGCTGCATCCTGTCTGTTTGAGCATTTCTCCAATAGCTTCAAAGATGTTTGAAAATTTCCAGCGCCTTCAGAAGCTGCAATAAACTGAAATAGTAGTAGGGGCCACACTCAATGCCCTGCTTACTTCAATGAAAGGCTTTTGTTTCACCCTCAAAAGTATCACCCTTTCTACCAAAGCAGTTAGTCCTACAGGCAGAATAGCGCTGGAAGCTAACTGAGTTTACTCCAAGTCTACCTGTAAAAGCTACCAAGCCAAAAGCCTTTTTCCTCTTCATTCAGCTTAATTAAATGTACCTTTGCCTGTTCGTGTCTTGCTCCCAGACACAGCTATTTATATCATCACTTATAAATAGTTGTGGCTTCTTTTCTTAGCAAGATCTTCCTCTTAAAGGCATGGTTTGACTCAAAAGAAGAAGGTGAAATCAGCAAGTCAGTAGCAACTGCCAGACCCTTACACAGCTGAATTAAAATTGATTAACAGGACAAGCCTTTCAAGCAAATATCACCGACCAATCATTACCACAGTAAGTAGCAGATTTAATTCATCCTCAGATTTCTCATTACTATTTGGGAGAACCAATGTGTTTCACCTGCCCTGAGTCTGAAATGAGAGTATCTAGTCCAACTTCAAGAAGCTGAGCAACTGCAATGTTCCATTCCCACAACATGACAGATGTTTGACATGTTAAAAGTCAGCACTAACTTGAATTGTTTCCCCTGCACTTACACAATGATTTTTGAGTTTATTCACCCATCCTTCAAACATCTGAAAAAGTCCCCATGATGTATCTAAAAATGAAGCTCAGAGACACCCAGTAAACAGTTCAGTTTCTGGATAGATTGGTCTACAAATTCCTCGGAAGAAGTACCTGGCTCTTCCCCTCCATGATTTCTTTGAGGCGCTTTAAAACGGTGCTGAGGCTTCTTAACTGAACTGCTGTTCGAGGATCATGACCTCCAAGAGGCGGTTCTACTTTCCTTCGATTGTCTGGAAGGAAAGGGAGAGTAGTATTCATTTCTTCCATGATACATCAATGTTCGCATCATAACACAAAACCCCATTACAGGGAGAAATGTCCACATATGTATGCACTTTACAAAGTTACAGCATGTATTACTTCTTGCCCTTGTACTCTTTTCCCCACAAAAGGAGCTTCTGATGCCAGATAGCTTGCTTTGACTGACATTTTAAATACCATCCTCTGTGTTTACAAGAACTGATTTAAGTTTGTTGAGAATGAAAACATCCTTTAATGAAGTGAGGTTATTTTCAACATCCTATAAGAACCTTGTAAAAGTCTTCTGGAAAGCACTGTCATCTCATTTTAGAATGCCCTCTAGGATATTAATACTTACAAAATAATTGCAACAATATTCACATTAATCTAGGACTGGTAAAAGTCAATACCTTAACCTGAATTTATTTATAAATTACTACAGCAAGTCTCAGGACTCAGTTGCTCAGATTCTATTAAAAACAGTAACTCAGTATAAAATGCATCCAGAAGTTTGCATTTTTGAAGGATTTTTGTTTTGTTATTTTCTAAGAAAAAAGCCAAGTTGTTGAGAACTTGTACAGTCATTCTTGATTAACTATAGCAACAAGACTCCTGAATAAAAAGGTAATGCAGTTAATTTCTTTCCTATAAAAGACTAGATTACTTTGAAGCATTGCTGTACAAGTTACAAGTAGGATCCTTCTCTCCAGAAGGCTCTGCAAATACAGTGCTGTATTTACCTGAACATTTAAACATTTTCAAAGTCACTTTTCTACACCAAAAGCTTTTCTGAATAGTTTAAAGTTTCTTACCAGCTTCGCTGCTCTCCATCTGACTAGAATTTTATTTTCATTCCCCCTAATACATGAAGGACGGACATGGCCGCTTTCTGTTTACTGCTTTAGATAGCACTGATGTCAGCGGGAATGCTGACAGCACCAGCAGAAGCGTGTTAACTGTTACTGTGCAGTAACAACTAAGCTATCCCTTTGTATGCAGGAGATCAAAACTCTTAGAGTCATGTGATTAAAACTGTGGGATTCCTCTTCAGGTTCTTAGTAGGTATTTTTAGTTAATAAGCCCATATATAGCTGCTTAATGACCTATGTACAACAAAGAACCCACAACAGGAGATGATTTTAAAGAGATTCGAGAATGCTTAAACCCAGTTCTGTGGCTAGCCACTCGGAATTTATTTTAAAAAAAAAAATCAAACAAATATATTTTTGGACAGTACCAAGTTGACTATTTTAGGGTGATTAAAGGGACATTAATATTTCAAGAAAACATTGACACTAAGATTGAAACCTTTGGCTCCTCCTTACTTCTATCACAAGATCTATGCTGCATTTACTTCCTGGGCTTTCCTGCTGTAACTTTTGGATTCAAGAGTATCTTCTTTCCAGGAATGTTGCTTCCAACTCAAAAAATTATTATCAGGCCTTCTGTCTAACTAGCTACAAATATGGTCAGCCAAGTGAGTCCCAAAGTAGGAACATACACAGCACTGAGGAAATGCCACAGGTAACCCCAGGCTTTCGTTAGTTAAACACCCTTTTCTGTGTTGCATAAACCAATGTCAAAAGGATGCCATCTACATTAGAATAAGCGCCATCAGCACCAGGAACACATGGCTACCCCGTTTATACTAGAGAA